ATATATATGTTTTTAAATAATACAAGCCAAAAATAAAATTCACTTTCTCTTTCGAGATTTTTGAAATTCCTCATTAATTACACAAATCACCGTACAACTCGGCAACAACTTGTAGCTTGTTCCGAAAGCCCTGAAATCATCGGATGCTCCTTTAACGGACCCTCGGCGCGGGGATGGCGCATTCACCCGTGTGCGTTACACGCGCGTGTGCGTCGCGTGCGTGTGTACGCGCGCACGCCGCCGCTTTCTCTGCGTGTGTGCGTTAATAATAATGACTGACCGACTCGTGCACCGAGGTGGGGCAAGTTCACGGTCACGCGTCGTGCATAGAGACGGTGGTGGACACGTACGTGCGTATACGTTTTGCGCGTGTACGCGCGGACTAACGTGCGTGTGTCTCTCACTCTGCTTCTTTTTTTCTGTTTTTTTAAGTTCTGTCTCTCTCGCCCTCTTCCCCACCCCATCTCTGTCTCTTCCTCTCTCTCTCTCTCTCTTTCTCTCTCTCTTTCTCTACGTCATTTATATATGTGTTTGCTACAAGCCGTATTATTTACATACCGTCGCACTTAATTTGGCGATTCGCCTACGCAAAAGTCTTTTTTAATGCGTCCAACTTTTTAACTCGCATCTAGTGTTTTATTTATTATCGAACGCATTATTACATCTTGTTTCAAGCGAGTTTTTAATTTATGACGAATATTTGAATGTCATGTTTTAGACGTAGTTTATTTTCGCAAATCTCCGGATACACGGTTTTACACATATGTATACATATAGTTTTTAAGTAAATGACGCAATGGTAAATTATAATTATCGCAGTTGCGTATGTGATAAATATAAAAGTTAAATATATCTCGAATTTACAATAATTTTTAAGTTTGGAAGATTCTGTCTTGTGGTATCTTAATCTCGCTGATTGGACGTATACGAGAGTAGGCGAATTTAATTGCTGTCCAACTATTATACAATCATTAAGTTTGATGAACGCAATTACAACATGTATAACGCATATACGCCTATATACGTGTGTTTGCATATTGATCATATCAATTTACTTATATATTTTTTGCATGTTAATTAATTATTAATTTTACAAGAAAATTTGCAAAATCGATAGACCGTATCATATGTCCAAAATAAATGAATGTATATTATAATGATCGACACAACGTACACGTTCAGACCTTTAAAGGGCATTCTGTACGATAATACTCGGAGCTCAATGTTAGTCACGTTTGTCTACTCATGGTCTGTGGGACGTCCCTATGCGGGGTTGCCACGACTTCTAGCTGGGTTCTCTTGGATGCCTAGAAGACTCCTAGGCAGTCCTAGGCATGTAGCTTCGTTTGCACGCACAAGGTTACGCATATACTGTACACTCGCTATAGTATCATGCGAAAAAGATGCTCGACTGGTCTGAGTAGATAAATTAACATAGCGCGTTCAATAGAAAGAAAAATCAAATATATATTTATTTAGTTTCTCTTTCGACTGAATAAATTATAAAGTAGATAAACTCCTTGACCTTTTTTCCAATTTGAATAAATTTCATTTGGAAACACAAATTTTTCTAGATTTTAGATTAAGGAGATGCAGTTATCTGCATAGATAGATTAAAATAATCCTTGAACAGAAAAACAATTGTGAAAGGGAAAATATTCATTTAGCTTTTCTTATGGATGAGAAAATTGTAAAAATAATTTTAATTTTAATTAATTGGAGAAAATTAATCTTCATTGATTTGATTTTCGATTTCAATAAATCTGGTTTGGATTTGACGAATAAAAATACACGGAATACATGGAATTTTTAGTAATCCAAATTTTTTATTTAAAATATTTAAAAAAAAAAATTGTTTCATAATTTCGATGAAATTTTGATGATTATTAAAATTAAATAAATCTCAAGTTAATTTCAAAGTGCCATTTCTACCTACACATTTACATTATAACAGATATTTAAAAGGATACGAGTTTCTTATCTTAAGCTTTACTATTTACCCGGCTCATCGAAAGCGAAGAGAGACAGACGTGAATGTTCTCTTGTTCGGTTCGATCGTAAATCGACATGAGGAAGAGGGCAATCGTTTGGCGAGTCTTGATAATAATTTCGAACGTTTTAGACGTTTTCTTAATCGTTGAGCCTAGACTGTCGGCGAACTATAGTGAGTTTCCGAGCAGGTCTACATATACCCATTTCAATGGGTCAATACGTTCGGTCGGCCGAGCGGTATATCTTCGTCTGGCAGGGGCGCTTATAAAAGTCTATGCGTCTGCGACGCATCGATCTCCACCGATACTTACGTCAGGCGAAACTGCCAGTAAACGACCTCGTCGTTGTCCTCATCGAAATCGTATTAATAATCGTTTATCGGCGCGAAATCATTTGCCAAAGACGTTCTATAATGCAGAATCACGTACAGCGCAAGTTTCTTTCCTTTTACCTTCTCTCGGCGCGACTTTTTTCTCCTTTAGTCTCGCTCTCACCTCGCCCACCGTCGAGTTCTCTCAGATACTTGAGGAAAGATAATACGAGAGGAGAGAGGAAGACCGTCGGGGCTAATTAGCTCGCTCCTCGTAATCGAGCTCGTAAATATACGGAGAATTGCGGTGGAGACTCCGTCAGATTCGTAGGGAATAAGTATACAGCTCGAGTAGAGACAGAGAGATCAGGCGAGACCGAGACTAATAAGAGATAACCATGGCCACGCGTGTGCATCTCGCTCGTCGTGATGCATTCGCAGAGCCGGATTGCGACTAGGATATCGCTAATGTAAGCTCCGCGTAACCTTCGCCCATGAAACATGTAATATCTTGAGTCGATGACCCGTATACCTGTCGCATGTATGATGATACGAGACTCATTTGCTTAGATAAGATGATTACAATTAAATAGAAGGCATATATGGTTACCAAGATACTTGATGTCAAAACTTCAAAGAAACAATATAGCGTTCAATTAAAGGGCAAAAAAATATTTTTGTTTACCAAATAAAAATAAAAATACTGAATAATTTATTACTATTAGGCTGTGTTTTATATATCTATATCTATTTTTCAGCAATTTTCCAATAAGAAAAATAAAAAATAGTTTATTTTATAATTGATGATAAATATTTCTTCAACGATAATTGCAATTTGTCATCATGACAAATATAATTATGCGATAAATTATGTGAATTGACCGGATAATTATATTATATTAATTTTTACGTTTACACGTGCTTGGTGCTATAACACTTTGGCTGTCGCTGTTGCAGATTTCCCGAGTGCAGTGAAACGACTTTTGAAGAACGACATACTGATGTTTAGAACAGCGAGTAGCGTGCTGCACATCTTGCCGATCGCCGGTCTTTACACCTTCCTGCCGAAGTACCTCGAGAGCCAATTTCGTCTGCCGGCTCATCATGCGAACATGATCTCAGGTAATTATCGCGAATGAACATGCAAGCGGGGGCCCATGGATCTCGAACGTATACTCAATTATACAGTTCAGCAAGAAGGAATTTGAGAAAAAAATAATTTTTCCTTGCAATTTTCTCAATACGAATTTAATCTTAGAAATGGTTTATTTGAAAAATAAAGTAAGTTTTATTAAACAGTTGAAAAATATTTATTCAATTGTCCGCGTGATCAATAGCTTAATTTATAAATTTTCCGCAATATTTAGTTACGAAAATCTTATTAATCTTAATATTTGCAGCAAATTCCATTTAAAAAGTGAATATTTTAACAAAATACGTTAAAATAATTTCTTCTCACATTTTTAAATCAAATTTCTCAAAAATGTGACGGAGCATTTTGAAAAACAAAATTATATTTTAAATAATTATTTTTTCTCAGTTTAAGAAAAGAGTTATTTTTTTGTTGAATTGCATTGTTACTAATGATCTGTGAGAGACATGAATCGTGTGCGAAATAACAGCAAAAATTTCTGGAAGATCGGCCGGGCAACGTCGCAAGATTTTGCCGCCGGATGTCCGTCGCGATTACGATGTAAAGTGGATAATTTGACGTAAATGACAGAACGGGCGTGTTATTCCATTCGCCGAAAAGAATTATTCTCTCACTTCGTTTGTTGTACGCCGAAACTTGCGACGCGAAATTTGCCGGTCAATTATACTGAATTACCTTTCTTACTTTTAACTTAAATTATATTAACATTTCGTATAACTCAAGATAAATATATATAATAATTTGCAATGATATTTCATATTTTTAATTTTTTTTTGTATTCTTAAGAATGTTACTTATAATTAATAAGTAATTTATGACATACGGAAGTTATAATGTTGCGAGTGAATAAGTGATATAATCCGTAGAACGAACTCGCGTATTTCTCGAGTATTAATTGTATGATGCCTTATTCTACGTGCGTGAGTGCGTGTGCGCGCACGCGCTAATTTATGATGATTGTTCTTCGTCGAGAATTGGCGCCGGTCGTAGAACAAGGCTGCGCTCCGCTTCTCTATTCTACTCCTCGTCATTCTGCGCCCAAGTATTAATCTATGGCTGTATTATTCGAGGAATAATTTAGTAGAAGTATCCGCCGTATTGTTGCGCGATACTATTATATTGATTTCGAATTATTTCATAGCCGCCCGATAAAGTTATGTAAAGCCAATGAAAGTATAAGTAGATCGTCTTGATCCCTTCGAACATTTTACGATCAATTTTCAGCATTACATTCAATTTTATTTCTGTGTACTTAATAATTTGTGAATATTAAAGATAAATATTTTATATTTTTATTGTGTGTGCGTTTAAGATATTAGACAAAATTAAATAAAATTGGCCAGTATAGTTTTTGAAGTTTTAATAATAATAATTATTATTATTATTACTAGAATCTTAGAATCTTTTTTTACTTTTGTATAAATATATTGATATTAAAAAAGCATAGTTTTTTGCACTTTTCAGATTGGAAAACTACATTTTGTTTATTTAATAAGTAAAATTTTTATTAATGAAATGTATGTGCTTTAAAATAAAGTCATGGTGGTCATCCTTTGATTCCCATGACTAGACTATGACGCAAAATATGAATTACCAGGTGAATGGCTTTCGACGATATAATGAGCGTGATTTTTTGCACAGGTGTTGGCGGCATCCTAGTTATGGGATTGGGTATTATAATTAGTGGCGTATTTATCTTGAGAGCGAAGCCCAACGCGAGGTTCGTCGCAGCCTGGATCGCCTTCACTGCGGTCGTTTACGCGATCGGCATGAGCGTATTGATGTTCATTGGTTGTCCGATGGACGATTTCGCAGGGCTTGTGTCACATCCCGACGGGTAAGAAAAATCTTATCGAATCTAATAAAACTTAAGTATGTCAATAAATTTGCTTCCGCAATTATACTTGATGCAGATCTCTTAGAGAAGGAAATATTCAGGTTCTTAAATTATGAATAAGTTGAAAAAAGTTTTACCGAGAGACAAATAGCAATTATTATATATAAAAAAATTTTTTATTTTTGTGTAAATTATAGTGTTCATTCGTATTATTAAAGTAAGATATCTGAAATAATATTAGCATTCGCAAAAACATAAATATCTTAAAGATTTTTTGCGATCTGAAATTAAATGACATAAGTCTTTGTCACATTTTGATATAGTATCGTTAACGATCATAAAAATAAAATTATTTTAATTATTTATTGTTAACAATCTTTTCGAAAGCATCCAACTCATGTAACATTGTTACAAAAATTTCGCGATTGCTGCTTTGTCTATATGTAAACGGCAAAGCTGGCGGATGTCGATCGTATGTTTAACAAAAAACAACGTGTTCGAATACGTATCCTATTAGAATGCGCATCGTAAATATATGTATCGGAAACGCGTGAGAGAGAATTTTTCGCTCTCCCTTGTCTTATTTACAAGTCAACAATATCTTCCGGTTCTTCCACATACATATATTTTGAGCTTTCCTGATTCGGCATTTTGTTTAGTCGCAAAGAAATCCTCGATCGTAACTTTGTTCATTTTATAATATTACACAAACCATTATATCCCGCTATCATTTATTAAACACGGGCAAAAAATTTAATATAGATTTGTAATTTAAGGGCTGGATTTAAATAATGCTGACAGTTTAATTGATTTTTAAGCAGCTACAAATTGCTGGATACTATAAAGATGTATCCATCACATATAATCTCTTATATTTACATATTTATATATTATATTATATAAAAATTATAAAACTGCACTGGGGGAAAAAGTTTAATGATATGCTCGAATTATACCGGGATAATTATTTTTTAATTTAAAGCTTAATTTGAAAAGCGAAATCGACGTTTTCGCAGACTTTCCAGCTTCGAGCCGACCTGTGAGGCTACCTGCGGCTGCGACCGAAATAAGTTCAGTCCAATCTGCGGCGCGGATGGTAGAACGTATTTCTCCGCGTGTCACGCAGGCTGCTCGAATTATACGGTCTCCGACGGCAAAGTGGAATCGGTAAGTGCTAAGCTCAGTAGAACCAACACTCAGGATAGGACATGCTCTGTGATGACACGTTTGTTCGAACGAAATTACGCGGGATACGCGATGGTAATTGAAACGGTCATCAGTTTAGAAACACCGTAAAAATTGAGATTGCTGCCGAGTCATTTCAGAAAACAATACAAAATTCTGGAGTCTTTTGCTCTTGAATAAAATGAAATATTTAGATAGCAATACACATATATCGTATTACTGTGCCGATTATATTTAATATTATTATCATGTATCATTATTGTGTTAAGATTAATTTTGGGTTACGCACTCGACACTTCTTTTTTATTTTTGAATATCAAAGTATTGTGTTTAAATTTCTGAGTACATATACGAGCAACTTAATTTTGAGGCAGAACATTATTTAGCAATTATAAAAATTTTAATAAAGAAAAAAAGGCACTGACTCACATGTAAAACAATTTTTAAAAATTTGGAATAAAAAATGGCCAATAAATGAGCAAACGACAAATATATTGCGAATTAACAAAAAATTATATTGTTTATTGCAACTTTCTTTCTCTGATAATGTTACATTTGGTGTTTCACAGTTTTATAACTGTCAATGCATCGGACAGAACCTCACGGTACCGGAAGCAGTCATCAGCACGGCGACGATCGGTTACTGTAAACTCGAGTGCAGCAACTTTTGGGTTTATATGATCCTGTTTTCGGTCTTCGTTTTTATCCATTCGACTAGCGAGGTAGGCTCCATGTTGCTCATTCTGCGATGCGTGGATCCCAGGGACAAGGCCATGGCGCTCGGTCTGATACAGTTCGCCATCGGTTTGTTCGGTAATTACTTGATGAGACATTATTTTCAACAGTGGAGGTATATAACATGACGCGTCTTTATACAAGAACTTGTTTGATCCGAATAAAACGAGAAAGTAAACGCCTGAAGTTTGATAAAAAATTCTCGGTTTTGAAAAAAATCTTAGGAGTTTATAATCATGTTTATATACATGAATCTTTTTTTATAATGCAAAATAAAGTAATTACGAATTGATTAGGATTAAAAAAAAAAAGAATAATTTAATGCGAAAGAGATAGATATAACAAAAAGGTTTAAAAAATCTTTAGTTTGTTTATGTTAAAAAAATGTTCCAGAATCGCCTTTTTTAACAACACAGTATGCTTAATATATTCATTCCTTTACTTCAGGTAATGTCCCATGTCCTATCGTTTATGGTGCTGTGGTGGATTCCGCTTGTCTCGTATGGGAATACGCTTGCGGTGAGCGAGGCGCCTGCTGGCTTTACGATTCGAATGTATTTAGAATGTTCTATCATGGTAAGCATATCTTAAAAGAAAGAGATGTGTAAAAAAATTCTCCATTTACTGATAAAATATAGAGATTCTAAGTAAGAGATTTCCCGATAATTACATTGATTCATGAAACGCAATTCTTGAGAGAGTCAAATTTTAATTAATATACACAGTGATATATTTTTCAATCTTTTATATGACTTGATAAGATAAAAATAAATAAATTAAACAGAGATTTACGAGAGGAAGTATGTATACTTATAATACGTAAACACGCTATATAAGATTGCGTACAAGCACGGAGTTTGCGTAATAACGCGAATGTCTCTCGGCAGGTACAACGGGTGGTATCCTCGTGTTGGCCTTCGTGGTGGATATAGTCGTCTGGTACAAGGCCGGGAGCATAAGCTTCGTGGAGGAGCAGGAGGGCGAGGAAGGCACCGCGGAGGAAATGGCGACGTTAAAATCGCAGGACGCTCAGACGGTCGAGAATGACTATTTGTGAAGGTTTCGCATTACTCTTTGCGGTGAACGGGTCGTGGCCGATGCGTCGTCGTCATCGTCATCTAAGGACTCAGTGCAGTGTCGTAGGATACATGGGGGCGTCGTCGTTCTTCGCGAAAGGTATACCGGTATAGATCGCCCGGTGTATTCCCGGGGACGCGGCGAAGGATCGACTTGACGTTTACAGGTCAAGACGGATCTTCTCTCGAATGAGTTCGTATCGACGGAAGTCTAGTCTCTTTTTTCTCCTCGACGATAGAGGAGACGCCTCTCAGGACAATCAACACTGGTCGTGACGCGAATTGTTTTCAATGTCCGCGCGCGCGGACTCGAAAATTATGAGAAGACTGGCTGAAGTAGGTGAATGACTTGAACGATTTCGATTCGGTTACTCGCGAGAGAATCGCGATAGTTGATTAAGGAAGAAACGGATACGATTGCGAAGTTGGAAGAATAAATTCGGAAGATCATGACTCGATTACAACGAGCAAGAAGAAGGATCGCATGGCTCTTTTGCGGAGCAAGCACGTTACACGAAGACGATGCCGACTGTTACATCGTGAGGTATTCTTGTAAGCGCATAGAAAAACAGTTTTCGAGTTAACTCGGCAGTATCATCAGCCTCGGACATGCTGAGGAATCGTGACAAAAGGAGAACGATAAAAGTAATCGTGCGCGACAAGAGCGAACAAGAGCGATGTGTGATATAAGTCTCGGAAAAAGGAGTTATGTAGTAAGGTTTCTCTCTCAGGGAGGCTGTCAGTAAGTACACACGCAATATAAAAAAGTAATACTTCCGTGCCTACGAAACGACGGTGCTTGCGGCGAGCACGCAGGATCCGCTTCGACGGATCCGAAAAATCGAATCGAATCAAACCACACGGGCGGCCTCGCGGATGAACGCGATTCGCGATAGTGAGGGATTGCATCGTGCGTTGCGCACCGGTGTTGATTAGTATACGACAGCGTTCTCGTTGCTAACGTTATCTAACGGTAACATTTACCGTGACGCAAAAGGAAACGCGGGACACTGCGTGTCTTAATATAAAAGAAATCTTTCTTAAGTTTAATAAATTAGAATTTTGTTACAGAAGGCTCGAATAAGAAAGCAGCGCTGAAGAATCTTTTATTATTCCAAAATTGCAACAGCAATAAGAAAAAAAGATTTATTGTATGTATGTGTGTGTACACATCACACAATTATCTTCTGTTATAAATTTTTTAAATAATTTTGATTATTATAAAATATTAATTTAAAATTTTCTATAAAAAATATAAAATTTTAAATATTGGGACATATAAATCCTTAAATATTAATATATATATATATTTATATATATATACATAATATATATGTACATTTATAAATACAAAATTTCACATGTGTATATGTATTTAAAACATTTAATACTTATACACGCATCTCTTTAATATGATTCTCTCTCTTTCTTTTTCTTTCTGAATATGATATATGAATATTTATTGCATTTTTTAATTTTTTATTTGCAAGAATTGTTTGTGTCTAAGGGTTAACTCACTTTGGACATGCAGTTTAGCGCAATAAATGGGAAATATATTTTTGGAGAATTTTATGTTTAGGCAGTTATGTGTGCACTTTTCTATTGATCCCGGGAACCGGAACGTCGTCCGCGAGGCACCAAGACAGGCTTTGGATATTTTGTTTTACGTAAAAATGAAGATAATCGAGAAAGCCGAGAATCAACATATATACATGTATATATATATATATATATATATATACATGTATATATGTTGATTCTCGGCTTTCTCGATTATCTTCATTTTTACGTAAAACAAAATATCCAAAGCCTGTCTTGGTGCCTCGCGGACGACGTTCCGGTTCCCGGGATCAATAGAAAAGTGCACACATAACTGCCTAAACATAAAATTCTCCAAAAATATATTTCCCATTTATTGCGCTAAACTGCATGTCCAAAGTGAGTTAACCCTTAGACACAAACAATTCTTGCAAATAAAAAATTAAAAAATGCAATAAATATTCATATATCATATTCAGAAAGAAAAAGAAAGAGAGAGAATCATATTAAAGAGATGCGTGTATAAGTATTAAATGTTTTAAATACATATACACATGTGAAAGTTTAATAAATTTGAAAACTCGAATAATCTATATGAAACAAATGGTCCACAATGATATAACTGTAAACTACGTCTGTGTACAAGGGTTAATAACCATCGACAAGATCGATCAAACCGGAAAGCCGACCGTACATGAGAAAGAGAGAATAGATTTGAATTGACAATTACATCACACAAATAATCGTTCAAAATTTATATATATATATATATTCTCAGATATTAGAAAATTATTTATTTTTCGATAATTTACATTAAAAGAAAATTATCCGACATTTAAATAATTCTATTGTATTTTAGAATATTGTTGAAGCAGTTTTAATTGATCATTTTGTTTGGATTGCCAATAGTTCAAATATATGTTCTCCCTTTTTCACGCAAAGAATGTTTCCAATATGAATTAAATTATAATCATTGCGCAATTTCTCTCTAAATGCGCATTCGTATCTGCTTTTGTCACTCTCTGTTTTGCATACACGCTAGCTACAGGCAATCCTTTACATGGACACGGAAAGGCTCGAATAAGAAAGCAGCGCTGAAGAATCTTTTATTATTCCAAAATTGCAACAGCAATAAGAAAAAAAGATTTATTGTATGTATGTGTGTGTACACATCACACAATTATCTTCTGTTATAAATTTTTTAAATAATTTTGATTATTATAAAATATTAATTTAAAATTTTCTATAAAAAATATAAAATTTTAAATATTGGGACATATAAATCCTTAAATATTAATATATATATATATTTATATATATATACATAATATATATGTACATTTATAAATACAAAAAGGAATTGCTAGCAATTGTGAAGCATCAATTGTTGGATTTTACTGCTCTGGAATCGATGTAACTATGGATTAGACTTTTAATCACTTATTGCAGCCATATTCAATTATGATGTTAGCAGCAAAACTTTTTGTTTCATACATTAATTAATAGCTGTCAACTCGATCAACTGTTACATAGAATATGCAATATTGAAATCTAAAATATGAAATATAGAATTGAATTATTATTAAAGCATATATGTAGATTTAGTTAATGTATTTTACTGACGTAAAATAATAAAAAAAAAATTTTCTGCGTGTTTTATCAATTTTTATTATCGCGAACATGATTAATATAACGAAACAATTTATTTCGGCATAATGCAAGAAAAAAATTATATTAATTTTTCGCTTCTATCTCAATAATTTAATACTGCAATGAAGATCAGGAGCTTTAAAATCTGCTACTCTTTTGGAACAGAGTTGGCTTTGATTAGCGATGGGCGCGAAGAAAAAAGCTTGTTGACATAATATGACGTAGAAAACTTTATTAGTTTTATTATATTGTATTTTTTTTATTATCAGTTATTTTATTATTTTAACAGTAAAAAGATATTTGAGAATATTAATTTTATTTTTGTTGACTAGAGTTTTAAAACAAATTATTTTACTATATGGATACATTGATTCAAACTTCGCTATCAAAGATATTTTTATTGCCATATTGCATTATACATATATAATGCATTTTAACTGTATATAATAATAGATTTATTATTAGATTTGTGTTCTCAGGAATCTTCACGCAAATCTATTATTATTAAACATAAAAATTCTTTCAAATATTTATAATTTTGTTTATTAAAAATGTGTTAAATACAACTTTTTAAATTTTTTTAAGATTTATTTTTTTCAATGAGAAATTGAGCAAACATAAATTTAAAAAAATTTATGTCTACATAAAATTTAAATAAATGAAATTAAAATAATAAATAATTCAAATAAAAGACTATATAAAACACATGAAAACGTGATCAAAATAGACGATTGCAAGTCAGGGGTCGGATATTCGCAAAAATATATATTAACCGAGATATTACGGTTATATATGAATAAATTATATAATATTTAGAGAGAAAGATACGAATTTCTTAAATGTAATAAATTGAAGGTTCTCAGAATCTTTTTATATTTAACTAAATATATGTAAGATATTAGGGTTAATAAGAATCTAAGATGCAGATTACAGAATGTGCAATATATTATTGAACGTTCATGCAAAGCCGCAGAATAAAAAAAAAGGACTGCATGTTTTTGTGCTAAATTTATTATTTTTATTTTTCAATGTTAGACTTTTAATGAAGAATTAGTTAATCGTTAGAGATATTGCAATTTAAATCGAAATGAGTAAACAGACGAACCGATATGTTCCGTGTTTCCTTTTTAGAGATAGCACATTGTTCGATCATTTGTGTCACACGGTGCGCATTACATTAGTTGCGATCATCTCCAAGAACATATAAGGCGAAAGAAAAACGAAGAGAGAATGCCGATCATTCTCTTCGATCAGTCGTTATATGATTGGAAATGCCTTTCTTCTTGCGGATAATGCGCGCATAAGAAGCAGGCAAAGTACGTATGTAATTATGTACGTGTAAAAGAAAGATGTATACTTGCGTATATAGATGCGTATAATATACAGTTTAAATCGTCGATTCTGGTAAATCAGTCCTTGACCGTTCACGAACATCTGCGCTTCGGCTACATGCCCGTGTGCATTTCTGCTTTAATCCTTGCGTGTCTTCTCCCTGTGTCGATGTTCGGAAAGATCATCGCGATGACCGATGTGTGTCAGGTTTTCATACAGATGAAAATTATCCGCGAAGAGCATTACACAAAAGAAGCGCCGCGAACGATATAGATCTAAACTGCAATGAGCAAATTCTAAAAGCGAAAAGAAAAAGTCTAAAAAAAAAAAGAAAATTTTATAATTGTACATTATAAATTTGTTCTTAATTCGAGAACCAGAGAATTGAAGAAAATATAGTTTGTACTATTTTACTCGTTGCGATACTATAAGTTGAACAATCGTGATAGTAACTGATAATTATTGTGGAAGTATTTCAAAAGAGAGGGAGGTAGATAGATAGATAGCTTTTTCTGTTACACGGTATCATTGTGTATTTATAAATTTATGTATTTATAAATTATGTAATTTTGCCTTTTAAAGGCAAAATATCTTTTAGATCTATATTACTAGCCGCGCTTTGAATATGAATATTATGCTTATCTAACGAATGATGATCAGCGGGGATTAAAAAAGCTATAACTACTATAACTACTGAAAAATCAGAAATGTAAGAATAGTAAAGTAATACGCGTTAATACAATATGTCAAGGATTAATGCAGCAAAGACTACCTCCCAACATACATCTCGTTATTGTTAAAACAAGTTCATTATTGATATTTTGATTTGAGACCTTTGCAAGATAATGAAAGAGTAATTGTTAAACTCGATGCCGATTATTGTTTTAACAATGATGCGCGATGTACGAACAAAATTTTAATATGCTCTATGAAAAATTAGCGATGTATTTTTATGTACAAAAGAGCTCGCATTCTTAACACGAGGTTTAACGCGTAGACGTTCGTGTTGAGCGATTTGACACATTTTCTTGTAGTTGGTTCTCGATTTGCGCCATAAACATGTTTTTTAACGCATCATCAACGAAATTTTACGGATAAAAACAATTTTTTTATATAACAGTTTATTTCCAGACTTCGACATGATTTAAATTTCCTTTTTTTTATTTTTATACATAATAATTAAGATAAATATTAATTACGTAAAAATTATGACTATTGGCTCTTAATTTTGCGTGTCCATAATTTTTTTAATGAGAAATATAGTGTTATGTAAAATAAATTAAAAATAATACAAATTCAATTAGAACAAGATTTGAGAAAAATCACAAAGGTTTTATAGATTTTAATTATATCTACTCTTTTCAATTATATGCGATTTTAAATTTGTCGAATTATTCTTGAGAATAGATTTAATAACGCAAATCGAGATATATGTACATATATGTATATCTATATGTTTATTTCGCTCCGGTTTTAAGTGTCGATATTCAAATACACACGCACACAAACATCGTCGTCTAATTTGGAACTCCTTTCGGATCTCGGGTGACTCCTTAGGTCACATTACCCCGTCCGTATGTTTTATTACTCTCGCATAAAGTACTACAATAGTAAATATAGGCATAGATACGTATAATAATTATACGTATATTTGTGATCTGAAAAATAATTTTCACACGAT